TCTCACCATCTCATTTTGGGGTACTGATGTTGAATATGACGACCCATATGCACTTCAGCTTTCAAAATCAGGTGGGGTCCGAGGTTCCGAACTGGCCCCACCACACACCACAGTTGGCAAATGTTGCCATCATCTTGGGGAATTGGTTTCTTGGGTGACTTGCTGAATGTTGGACCAACTATAGGCCTTCCAAACACGCAACAGCTGCAACAACTCATCTTTCAGTTGACGGTCTGGTCATGTTCAGCGGTTCGGACGGTGCCAAACATGGCTGCGGTCCCAAAAAAGATCGACGGTTTCAACGCAGGCGATTCATCGCGACTCCTGAGCATATTGTGATCAACCAACAGGAGGTTGGTAAGATCTCTATGGCCAAAGCACCAAACGTCTACGTCTACAGAGAGGACTGAATGGACCTTCAACGTGATAAAGTCCTGAAAACCAAGAAAATGCGTGCAGCAACTTGTTCACAGCTATCATAAGATCAAAATGTTGCAAGAGATGCACAGACTTTGCATCTGACTTTCCTGGCTTCAGATTGCCAAGTTTCAGCCAAAGGCATGACCACCACCAACATAAGAAACAATGAAACGGTCCATTCCGCGCCAGCGAGTGTTCGGCGAGTCTCCTTAGGAGACCTGGTGCAGATCTGGCCATGGGTCAAACTTGGCGACCTGCAATGCGCTTCAATAATTCCAAAATACTGTACGTTTTTATTTTTGTGCATAACAATCCCAACCTAATACTTGTTTTTAATGCTTGGCAAATCTGGAGTATAGTTACAGTTATGATACCAAATAGAACATAAGTGCCCATTATATATAGCAATGTGTATATCACTAGTAGAAGGAGGGGTGCCTATAATTAAATAATCTAAATTTAAGCCATCAAATTTGCAAATAGTTGCTTTAATAATTTCATCAGCATTGGTCCCCTAAAACCTAAATGATATTCATGCATACTACTACCTAAAGACAGAACAAAAATTCTATATATATATACTTTAACTTGGAGAATGCTACAAGGAATGCCAGGTAGAATGTCAGAATATGTCAGAATATATATATATATCAGATGAAATGCCAAACAGAATGCCAAATAGAATGCTAAATAGAATGTCAGAAAATATATGCCAGACAGAATGCCATAATCTATGGTAAATAGAATGCCAGATATGATGTCAGAATATGTCAGATAGAATATCAGTTGGTGGGGATCACTCGAAGAAAGTTACTAGATGTTACTAGATTATGTTGCTCTCCTTTTTGTACAGAGGAATTGATGCCAAAAATAGATTGCATATGATTGTATAGAAGCACCTGCACATTGTTTGGTCCGGAAATATATGGGCAAAACATGGCTAAGCCACAGCTAAGTACAACTATATAATGGGGTTTGTTGGGCCATGAGCAAAAGCTACATAGTTTGCCACATAACTTGGCTTTCAATCCACTTGCTGTTGCTTCCTGAACGGAAATGGGAGATGTGTGTGTTGCAAATGATGGGCTTCTAACAACAACGCTTCGATGCTCTGTCACCGCGCGCATCTGGCGCCTTTGCAACAAATGTTAAAATTTCATCATGGTTTTGTGGCAAAGCTTCAGCTCTCGATGTTTTTTCTAGGCGCAAGTGCAAAAGAAGATCTTGTAACGTAGCATCCAGTTGGATGCAATTGCAGGAGAAGATCTTGCAATGTAGCATCAGTTTATTGCCTCACCCCCAGCCACACCCACCGCACCCCATTTTCCCCACCCCACAAACACAATCTGGTCATTCGATGACAACATCTCTGGAACGTGCCACGAGTTCTAACTGACGTGTCACAACCTCTAAGTGACGTGACACAGAGCAGAACGAGGCGAGTGTTACGAAACGCTGTGGAGCGTGGTACTGGTACACAATGCACACGACACCAAATTGTTTTATGGGCTGCACAAGCGCAAAAGCGCGCGGCGACGGGTATTCGGGGGAACAACAAATTTTGCTGCTGATTCAAAATCTATAATATTGAAACATACTGAAATATATTCAAATCGTCTTTCCAGTCTTCTGCCAGGAAAAGCAGCATGGGTTTGAACCACAAGATTTGTTGCTTGAACAATGCCAACGGCACAACTCGAAAGGTCCCGAACGGCCCCATGGCTGACCCATGTGGATCACGGTTGACTTCTGCTTCGGTAAACCATGGCTCGTAAACTATGCTTCGTAAAACCATGACTCGTAAACCAAGGCTCTTAAAAACTATGCTTCGTAAACCATGACTCGTAAACCATGGCTCGTAAACTATGCTTCGTAAACCATGACTCGTAAACCATGGCTCGTAAACCATGCTTCGTAAACCATGACTCGTAAACCATGGCTCGTAAACTATGCTTCGTAAACCATGACTCGTAAACCATGGCTCGTAAACTATGCTTCGTAAACCATGACTCGTAAACCATGGCTCGTAAACCATGCTTCGTAAACCATGACTCGCAAACCATGGCTCGTAAACCATGATTCGTAAACCATGAATCGTAAAACATGGCTCGTAAACTATGCTTCGTAAACCAAGATCCGTAAACGTGTAAGATGAGACTGTGCATGTACTTGCCAGAGGGGGTGGGATTTTGATATGACGTGTAAGATGTGACTTTGCATGTACTTGCCAGAGGGGGTGGGATTTTGATATGACGTGTAAGATGAGACTGTGAATGTACTTGCCAGAGGGGGTGGGATTTTGATATGACGTGTAAGATGTGACTTTGCATGTACTTGCCAGAGGGGGTGGGATTTTCATATGACGTGTAAGATGAGACTGCGCATGTACTTGCCAGAGGGGGTGGGATTTTGATGTGACGTGTAAGATGAGACTGTGCATGTACTTGCCAGACAGGATTTTGATATGACGTGTAAGATGTGACTTTGCATGTACTTGCCAGAGGGGGTGGGATTCTGATATGACGTGTAAGATGAGACTGCGCATGTACTTGCCAGAGGGGGTGGATTTCGATATGACGTGTAAGATGTGACCTTGCATGTACCTGCCAGAGGGGGTGGGATTTTCATATGAACCGTAAGATGAGACTTTGTATGTGCTTGCCAGAGGGGGTGGGATTTTGATATGACGTGTAAGATGAGACCGTGCATGTACTTGCCAGAGGGGGTGGGATTTTGATATGACGTGTAAGATGAGACTGTGAATGTACTTGCCAGAGGGGGTCGGATTTTGATATGACGTGTAAGATGTGACTTTGCATGTGCTTGCCAGAGGGGGTGGGATTTTGATATGACGTGTAAGATGAGACTGTGCATGTACTTGCCAGAGGGGGTGGGATTTTGATATGACGTGTAAGATGAGACTGTGCATGTACTTGCCAGAGGGGGTGGGATTTTGATATGACGTGTAAGATGAGACTGTGCATGTACTTGCCAGAGGGGGTGGGATTTTGATATGACATAGGGGTGGATTTTCATATGACGTGTAAGTGAGACTGTGCATGTACCTGCCAGAGGGTGTGGGATTTTGATTATGACTGTAAGTGAGACTGTGCATGTACTTGCCCAGAGGGTGTGGGATTTTTGATATGACTGTAAGATGAGACTGTGCATGTACTTGCCAGAGGGGGTGGGATTTTGAGATGACGTGTAAGATGAGACTGTGCATGTACCTGCCAGAGGGGTGGGATTTTGATATGACGGTAAGATGTGACCTTGCATGTGCTTGCCAGAGGGGGTGGGATTTTGATCGTGTAATGTAAGATGTGACTGTGCATGTACTTGCCAGAGGGGGTGGGATTTTGAAATGACGTGTAAGATGAGACTGCGCATGTACTTGCCAGAGGGGGTGGGATTTTGAGATGACGTGTAAGATGAGGCTGTGCATGTACTTGCCAGAGGGGGTGGGATTTTGATATGACGTGTACGATGTGACTGTGCATGTACTTGCCAGAGGGGTGGGATTTTGATATGACGTGTAAGATGTGACCTTGCATGTACTTGCCAGAAGGGGTGGGATTTTGATCGTGTAATGTAAGATGAGACTGTGCATGTACTTGCCAGAGGGGGTGGGATTTTCATATGACGTGTAAGATGAGACTGTGCATGTACTTGCCAGAGGGGGTGGGATTTTGATATGACGTGTACGATGAGACTGTGCATGTACCTGCTAGAGGGGGTGGGATTTTGATATGACGTGTAAGATGAGACTGTGCATGTACTTGCCAGAGGGGGTGGGATTTTGACATGCCGTGTAAGATGAGACTGTGCATGTACCTGCCAGAGGGGGTGGGATTTTGATATGACGTGTAAGATGTGACCTTGCATGTGCTTGCCAGAGGGGGTGGGATTTTGATCGTGTAATGTAAGATGTGACTGTGCATGTACTTGCCAGAGGGGGTGGGATTTTGAGATGACGTGTAAGATGAGACTGTGCATGTACTTGCCAGAGGGGGTGGGATTTGATATGATGTAAGATGAGATGCATGTGTTGTGTATGATGTGAGACTGTGCATGTACTTGCCAGAGGGGGTGGGATTTTGATATGACGTGTAAGATGAGACTGTGCATGTACTTGCCAGAGGGGGTGGGATTTTGACATGCCGTGTAAGATGAGACTGTGCATGTACCTGCCAGAAGGGGTGGGATTTTGATATGACGTGTAAGATGTGACCTTGCATGTGCTTGCCAGAGGGGGTGGGATTTTGATCGTGTAATGTAAGATGTGACTGTGCATGTACTTGCCAGAGGGGGTGGGATTTTGATATGACGTGTAAGATGAGACTGTGCATGTACTTGGCAGAGGGGGTGGGATTTTGAGATGACGTGTAAGATGAGACTGTGCATGTACTTGCCAGAGGGGGTGGGATTTTGATATGACGTGTAAGATGAGACTGTGCATGTGCTTGCCAGAGGGGGTGGGATTTTGATCGTGTAATGTAAGATGTGACTTTGTATGTGCTTGCCAGAGGGGGTGAGTTTTGGTTGCTGAGGTTTGGTTGCTGAAGCGAGAGTAGAGTTTGGTTGCTGAGCCGTGGTTGCTGAGCCGTGGTTGCTGAGTCGTGGTTGCTGAAGCGTAGTTGCTGATCCGTAGTTGCTGAAGCGGACATTGGAACAAAGCAACGTTTTGTTGGGCCCTTCCCAGCTGCATCATGCGGCTTCTGAGTCCATCGATTTTCGATTCGCGTTGATCTCGGATTTTCTCCAGCTGCTCACCTGGTGCTACAGCGTAACGTCTCCATTTTGAGATTCGACCCCCGAAAAAAAAAAAACGGAAACACGTGAAACCAGGAGGTTATAGATTATATAGATGATACATTTGCTTCGTATTTCCGGGGTTTCCATGGTTTTCCACTTTTCTATCTACGAGGATCTTCCAGGAAACCCATCATCTACCGAGAATGGTTCTACAAAATGGAGGAAAATCGCGCAGTGAACGCCACCATACGCCACCCAACTGGAACAAAAACAGATCATCATCACCATCATCAAGTATAATCATCAGTCATCAGTCAGCAATCATCAATCAGCAGTCATCAATCATCAATCATCAATCATCAGTCATCAACCATCTATCATCTATCATCTATGACCTATCAAAATCACCATCATCATCATCATCACATCATCATCATCATCATCATCACCAATCATCATCATCATCAACCATCATCATCATCATCATCACTATCATCATCATCATCATCATCAATCGTCAGTCATCAATCATCAATCATCAGTCATCAAGCATCAATCATCAGTCATCAATCATCAAACAACAGCCATCAATCATCTATCATCTATCACCTATCACCTATCACCATCACCATCACCACCATCACCAGCATCATCATCATCACCATCAATCATCATCAATCATCAATCATCAGTCATCATGAATCAATCATCAATCGTCAATCGTCAATCGCCAATCATCAATCATCATCATCATCATCACCATCTATCATCATCAATCATCATCAATCATCATCATCATCATCACTATCATCATCACCATCATCAATCATCTGTCATCAATCATCAATCATCAGTCATCAATCATCAGTCATCAATCATCAGTCATCAATCATCAACCATCTATCATCTATCATCTATCACCTATCACCATCACCATCATCACCATCACCAGCATCATCATCATCATCACCATCAATCATCATCAATCATCAATCATCAGTCATCATAAATCAATCATCAATCGTCAATCGTCAATCGTCAATCATCAATCATCAATCATCATCATCATCATCAGATCTAACTCGAATGACCATAAGATTGGTGAGTATCCCGTGTTGCATCCCATAAGAGACATTAAATGGCCGTGAAACTGAGTATATCAAGTTTGCAACTATATTGCTAGTCAAGAAATGATCATATATCTCAGAAATCCTTTGCCCTTACTACAGTAAATACATCCTCAAGCGAAAGCCTCGTGGAATATATGTCTATTAAATTCTATGAACATATAGTATATAGCACATCATTGTTGGGATCCTTTATACCAGGTGGCACTGCGGCTCCACTGGTGCATCATCATCGTCCCATTTTTAAAACGCAAAATAACTGGAGGGATGTTCCATGTTCCCCATTTTCAGACACAAAATCATGCATTTTGGTATATTTCTATGATCAAAGATGTCCGAGTTTCGGATCCACCACACTTTCAAAACTTGACAGAAAATACGACCCTTGCCATCTCCAAGTGACGCGTTTGATTCCCCTGCGACGCGATCGCTTCTCTTCCGCCAATTCAATGTCATCGCCAAAGCCCAGACGTATGCAAAACCTAGTATCAGACGATATGCTGTAGTTAATATGTTAATATCAAAACCCGGTTGTTACTAATCAATGGAATATTAAGAACCATTGATCAAACAATATAGTTAAATATAGTTAGTTAAAAAATGTTTAAAAGTGATGATCAAACATGGTTGCGACATCCCTTCTGACTGGAAGTTTCGGTATACGGTAATTTGGATCAAGCCAGGGGCGTGGTTGCCATTGATGTCATCGGTGAAAATCTTCAGGACACCAGGGTTTTCCCATCAGTTTAGGTGGCTAAACTGAGAAAACTTCCACTGGGGATGTGGATGATGTGGATGTATTGAAGCACATTCCCCTAGTATGAATGAACATCCCATCATAAAATCCTTGAACGATCCATCATGCATATGATGGACTAATCTCTTACGAATACTGGTGTGATGGTGGGACTGGAAGGACACGAAAATG